CAGGGCGTAACACCCCGCCCCCCTCACTCCGACCAGGCAATGGGCGGGGTGAAAGTGGTCTGCATTACCATAACAATAGCGATGCCCCAGTGGTCGGCTTTATGTGAGCCTCTCCAAGGATGACTCGCAGTGAACGAATCGCCTCGCTAGCAAAAAGAGGAGGGGAGGGGGGTAGAACCTATTCCCTGCTCGCCTCCGTTTTCTGACCGAGGAGGTTGAACAAACGTTTACACCCACGCAGTTTCACCATGTCGTTATCTATCCCACTTATTTTTTTCAAGTTTTCATTTTTTGTTAAATGATTTTCGTTTTAATTATAGGGCACGGAATTTTTTTTAAAAAGGGAAACCAATGTTGTATTTTTCCTCATTTCGAAAAACACGAAAACATACGTCACTAGCACGGCAGCGTGTCGTGCGACGCTTGGCGATGCGCCCCGGGCACGTGCCCCAACTCACGCAATTGCCCCCCCCCCCCCTCCTTTGGTGCTGTAATCGCGACCGAGACACGCCCGCCTTCTGCTCACGGCAAACGAAAGCAAAAGTGGCGATGTGTATCACATGCCGTTTGTCTGTCTCCCCCCTCCGGGTCCCCCTCCGCGCCACGACGACGCCACGGAGCAAACACGCTGCGCGGCGAGTTGCGGCGCTTTTTATCGCCGCCCCGGTGAGATACGCCTCCTTCGGAACGCGCGCAGGGCCGGGGCCCGCGGGCCTGGGGGCCCTCGACCGACAGGCAGGCCGGTCGGTTTGGGTCCTTCACTTTCTCCTCCCTGGGACCCGGGGGGCCCTCCGCCAGGCCGCTGCCCCGGGCGGGCCCCGGGCCCCGGGCGCGTCACGGTCGCTGCCCCGGAGCACGGACCGCGCGCTCGAGATGGACCGCTCTATTTTGTTTACATGCCGTGCGCGGGCGGCTGCGGGCGCCATTCGATGCCAACTCGGAAACGGATCCGGCCACAGCCAGAGAAGGGGTGTGACAACCAAGTTTTCAAAGCGTTACAGCAAGCTAATTGTAATACGAAATTGCACAGATCCATTAGGGACGAAAAGGTGTTTAAAGTAAGAAAAATTGCGGGAAACGTTAAGGTTTTCCGTAAAATTTTAAAACACCAAACGACATTGACGAAACGTGACTATTCCACCGAAGGTATTGGAGCCCGATTAGGTCAGTTCACCTCCATTGTTCACAAAATTTAATGGTAAATCTTATAACCCAATCTCCAATGCCACATGAAATCTAAAAACACTTTGGTTTTCCGTAAGTCGAGGTGATAGTTGAGTCGCACTGCTTACCTTTGGATTGTTTCTTGCACTGTTGATTCCACACGTGTTCACTGTCACTCCGCACTCACAACACTCACTTCTCTCTCACTGCACACTGTATGTATGTCCGCTCCGATGCGGCGAGCTTAACTGTGCATCCGTGGCGACCCCTTCGTGTTAAATACGAGCTGCGCGCCGGCGCCCCCCTCCAGCGCCCCACGCGGTCCGGACGGCCCCCTCCACCGCCCCGGCCCGCCCCC